CGCCCCCCCCAAAAGCTTAATAATGTATGGGGTTTGGTTTGTTTAAAGAGCAACCGATATGATTTAGGAACTTAATTGGGAATTTGGGAATTGGTTTTAGAGTACTTACAAGTTGATACATATTGTGGGGTTGCAAGTTCTCTGGGTATTTGGCACTGATTGATCATTTCGGGACTCTGATTTTGAGGTATATATATTATATACTGTATATATTGTTTTGAATGAGCTCTGTGTCTATACGTATGACATATTGGTTGAGGTAGTTTGACTGTATATGTTGTACTGAAGTAATACACAGTTTGTAGGCAGAGGGATTAAAAAAAATAGAGATATGGATATAGTGGCTCAGCAAAGGGCCACAAAGATGAGGAAGGGACTGGAGCGTCTCTCCTTTGAGCAAAGGCTGAGGGACCCGGGACTGTTCAGCTGGGAGAAGAGAAGGCTCAAAGCGATCTTATCAATGTGTATAAACACGTGAAAGGAGGGTGTAAAGAGGATGGACCCAGGCTCTTTTCAGTGAGTGGTGCCCAGCGACAGGACCGGAAGAAGTGGGCACAAAGTGGAACACAGGAGGTTTCCCCTGAACATCAGGAAACACTTTTTTACTGTGAGAGTAACTGAGCACTGGAGGAGATTGCCCAGAGAGGTTGAGGAGTCTCCATCCTTGGAGATACTCAAAAGCTGTCTGGACGTGGCCCTGGGCAGCCTGCTCAAGGTGACCCTGCTTGAGCAGGACGGGCTGGACCAGATGACCTGCAGAGGTCCCTTCCAACCTCTACCATCCTGTGACCCTGTGTGAAAGCTCTCTTCTTCCCAAATTCCTTCCCCTCTGCTTTTACTAAGGCTACTACAAGTTTCAACTTGCAACAAAAACCCACCCTGCCTTTGTAAACAATTATTTTTCCCGTTTGAAAAAGATCAGTTTGTGCTCAAACCCAATCTGAAATGCAATCCATCCATTTAATTTTTTGAAACTGTTGTACCCTTGCAATCCCATGGCTCAGGTCAGATGTTGTCTTCAAGATAACTGCTTCCAGATGCTGCTGTTTGGTTTCTCGTAGAGCTTCACAGAAGGCTGCGAAGGCATTAGGGCCTCTCTTGGGCAGCAAATTGAGGAATTCCACATTTTGGCTGAAGCTCCCAGACTTGGCCTAGATCCAGAGAAAAAACAAAACCCACACTCAAAGTAACACCCCAACACAATTAATTTTCAATAAATCTGCAGAACAACTATTTTTTTTACTTCATGTAAACATTTCATCACTATGCTTAGCTGTGCTAGATCCATCTTTATAGCTTTTTCTATCTCATTTCACTTCCAACTCCTCTGTTCCTGTTAGCTCAAGGGGGAGAGTATATGACAACGCAGCAAGCCAACAATTCATACATTACCACACACAGTAATACACCCTCTTCTCTCTAAACTTTTACTTCCAGTTACTGTTGGAATAGTATCTATTTCCTCTCATTGAATACACAAAGTCCAGAACATGTTTCCACTACTACCCAATGGTTTATGGTCTCATGCACCAAGACACAAATCCCTCAGAAAGCATTAACTAAAATACTCCTTTTATGCAGTCAATTCCTAAAAGATACTATGTACGTGTAGACTGTAACGCTTAAACCAATGAAGCAATATGTAGCAGTATGTGAGAAAAATCAACCATCAAAAATGAAATTTATGTATCTGTAAAACATTCCCAAGAAGTTTTAATCACAGGAATATTAACAGGACATTTGCCAACAACCTGTAAAATTTATACAGTAACAGCCTTCTCTGTGAGATCTAAAATACCAAAACATCACATACTAAAATACTGGGTATCAAAAATAATTTTATCAATTCCATGGAATTCATCCTATATGATTTAAATTACCATGTAGATCCAACACCTCTTCTTTTGGTGATGCTAAAAAAAGGCTGGTGAGTTACACAGAATAAAGGCCTAACACTACATTTGCAATCACAGGAAAATCAGAAAAAAAAGCCTTGAGTCACATGGGTAAATCCTCTGCTCTCTTTCATACAATTAATCAAGCTTGGTGTTAAACATAGTTTGGCTTTTGTCCCATCACATTGCTTGAAAGGATATTGCAAAATCTTGTTGATCCAATGCTTATGAACCTATCCTGAAATTTCAGAGCTATGTTCATTCATGACTTTCCCTTACTTATCACACTTCTTTCTATAAATGGGTCTCCATTTGCTCTAGTCAACAAACCACTTCCTTTCAGCCTCCTCATAAATGGCCTCTTCCCCTTGCCAATGCAGCAACCCTTTCCTATTCCCACAGAAACCCCAACTTTCAGAGCACTGTCTTCTCACCTGTGCCTTTCCACAAGAATGAAAATACTTGCCCCTTTCTCCTGGTAACAATTCTCCATTAGTCTGTATAAGATAACCAGCTCCATATACTTGTATCTTGCTGTAAGCCCACTGAATTTTATTTTACCTAATAAAGTAAATTGACAGCTGATATTTTAAAGTATCCATTAATTGTTTCTTCCTTTCTAGTAGACCTGCAGCTGTTTAAGACAAGCTTAAGATCATTAACCTTCTTCATTTTATAAGTCTTCACAGTCTATGACTCTAAGCCACAGATCATAATTAAGAACACATGCTGACCTCAAGAACTGGATCTTCAGTTTTATTGAAAAGCTAAGAAGTTTCCATAATGTTCATATTCTGCACTTTGTATGTACAGTAGTCTGCTTTTGGCAGACTTCTTCCTTAAATCCTCAAAGTGCTGTACCTCCTCACGCAACTTCCACATCAACACCACATTTAGGTTACACTAAATAATGCTCAGCAAACATGCAGAAGTAAAACTTTCTTAAGACAGACTTCTTTCATTTTATTTTCTAATACATCTGTAATTTCTTTTTGTACCCTCACAGGTGAGATTGATAATCTGCATAACAGGAACAGGTTGCTCTGAACTCCTGTCAAAATCCCATAGTATCTCTCTTCCTACTGAGCCTGAATATACACGCAGAATCCGTGGAGAGAGCATGTATACTTGACAAACACCCTAATCAAATTTACGTCACTTTGTCAAAGCCAGTGATCCCTTCATTACCGTCTAGGGATCAACACAGAGCATTTACATCTCTGTATCTACATGATCTGATAGCCTTCAATTACAGCACAGAGTTTTCAACTTGTTTAAAAAGCAAGAGTAAGCTTTTGCTATCGTATCTGCAATTTTAAAGGTCCATTCCAGAGCTCTAGAAGAACATCTGATGCTCTGACAAGAAGGTATTAATGAAGTAGATTTTGGACTTCATCTTAAAAATGGCTGTTTTCACTGTCCCACTTTATTTCCACTGTCATTTTTGCTCTGTGTTCAAAATCCCTCTCTTCTGGGCCTCCATCTAGATAATTTTATTTACGTAATCTTCACTAGACAGCAAAAACATTTTTTTCCCTTTATTATTTCTTAAAAGTCTCTATAATTGAAAAAAAACCAAATCATTTACTATCTTTCCGAATGACCCAATTTAAGTTCATTCCTGTCAGTTCCTATTCTCTTTCCTCATTTCAAACATCAGAGGAAGCTGCTCCTATTTATTAATTCTTCTCCAGGGTACACCTATAAACTTTGTACTTTCTCTTCATATTCTCTGTGAGATCTCCAACCAGCTCAACCACCTCTGCCTTCAGTGGCTCTTCCTGCAACATCCTGAACTAGTCAGCTATAATATCCAGGAAAATCTACCCTCTGTCATCAGACACAGTGGCATTTGTCTCCCCCTGTTCCCACTAAGGTACCCGATCATTAGCATCACAATACGCTTTCAAGAGCGGGCTACCTAACAGCACTCCTAAGACCTCTGTTCACCTTGTTTCAGAGTGGAAGACTACTACAAATTCACAGATCTGCTATAGAAAAATGAAAGGTAAGACAAAGTGGTTTTGACTCCAGTGACCTTTTTCTTAATGCACACTACTTTTTGTTTACTTACAGCACTGTTATGATTAGTACTATCCTGCAAACCTTCCTTTCATTTCTATCCTTCTAGCAGAACGCGTATTTCGCAGTACTACTGTTCCATGCTTTCCTCCTACACCTGCCACATCTCTATTTTTGTGCAATTTCCAGATTCATACCTTGCAACAGTAGTTCAAGTCACTTTGTTCTTTTGCTCAGGCTGCTATTGCTATTTCTATACAGTTAAGTTCTTAGGTATGTGCGTATGTTTTATTAGGCACATTTTTTCCACTAAGCTATTACTATTTATCTGACATCCATCATAACACCTTTCTCCTTACTGATAATCCATTATCAATCCTTGCTGCATCTCCTTTTACCCAATTACACCTGGAGGGGAAGATTCCCTTAGACTTTCTTCCCCTCTGTCTCAGTTTAACACTTAACTACAGCAGCATTTTCCCAAAAAGACCACTTTCTCTAGCATTATCCTACCTTTGAGAGGCTTTTTTTTTCCCCCTCCTTTACTTCCCCTCCCTCCCTCTTCAGTGACTAACCACAGGCCAGCAATTGAACATCCCTACTAACCACCCATACTTCAGCAGTGTTGTCCTTCAACCCCCATGGACTGCCGAGCACCACGCAGCTGCTCAGTCGCTCCCTCCCCAGCAGCACGGCAGGGAGAATCAAAAGGGTAAAAGTGAAAAAACTTGTGGGTTGAGATGAAGACAGTTTAATAGGCAAATCAAAAGCCATGCACACAAGCAAAGTGAAAAAAGGAGTTCATTCACTACTTCCCATCAGCAGGCAGGTCCTCAGCCGTCTCCAGGGAGGCAGGGCTCCATTACGCGTAACGGTTACTTGGGAAGATAAACATCCTAACTCCAAATATCCCTCGTTCCTTCTTCCCCCAGCTTTTATTGCTGACCACAATAGCATACGGTATGGACTATCCCTTTGGTCAGCTGGGGTCAGCTGTCCCAGCTGTGCCCCCTCTCAACTTCTTCTGCATCCCCAGCCCACTTGCTAGCGGGGCGGTGTGAGAAGCAGAGAAGGCCTTGATGCTGCATATGCACTGCTCAGCAACAACTAAAACATCCCTCTGTCAATCCCTAGCAACATCAATCACAAATCTAAAACACAGCACCACAGAAGCTGCTATGCAGCAATTAACTCTATCCCAGCCAAAACCAGTACAACCAGTTCTTGACTCATTCCCTGACTTTCACTGTCTTCCTTGTCCTCATTCACTAGGGATCGGAGCTATTTCAGGCGAGACTGCCTGCATCTCCCACAACTTAGCACAGGCATCCTTGACAGACCCCATGAGGAATTTTACATTATCTTTGACACACCACAATGAGTCAAACTTCATCAGGAAGTTACTTCGTCACGGCTTTCAAAAAACCTTATCGGCCTCAGGTTCATACCTTCTGCACTGGAGCCCAGCAAACAGCTCATAATTCCATTTTTCAGCATCTGCTCTTATGACAGGACCATCCACCTTACTAAGGCACTAAAAAGTCCCTCAGTTGCTCACTTGAGTGCCACGAAGCACTTGACACGCACCCTCACTCATTTCCTTTCCCGCCTGCTTTCTCTTTGAAGCCATGTATTTCTGTCCCGGACAGTCTTCAGTGCGTCACCGTGCCTCTGGGATCAATCCCAAGCTATTTCCAATGACTTCTCTTCGTAGTACCTGCTGCTCGAGACAAGTAACAAAAGCCCACGAACAGCACTTGTCATCCCAGAGTCCCGGATCATACAAGGTTCTTCATGCAGTTTATAAAAAGACGTATGAAATGCAAATTCTTGAAGTGAGAAGTACACAAGTGCCACAAGTTGGTTTATAATGTATTCCTCCACCTGCTTTCACAGTGTTCTTTTGGAAATAGGTATTCTTCCTACTTTTACAAATGGAAAAAAAACCCGAGAGGCACAAAACGACAACAAACGCCTGGCAGACAGCACCCTACTCGCGTGGCCACCACGCACCAGCATGCAGGCCAACAACTCCACCAGTCTCGGATGAGATCCATACGCTGCCAGACACGGCCTACGGTTCCCTTGGGTGTTGCAAGTCAACCCCACGCCACTTTGCACGCACAGCAAACACAACCCCATCAAAACACCAGGTAACACATTCCCCCCCTTCCCAAGGCCCCCCCCGGCCCCCCCCCGGCAACGAAGCCGATGGTGCAGCCGAGCGTCACGGGCGCTACCTGTATGGTTTCCACCATCTCCGCGGTGACGATGTCCTTCTCCACTAGGTGCTCCACCAGCTCCTTCAAGACCAGCTGCTTCGCCAGCAGCACCCGGTTCCTCTTCAGCGCTTCCTGGTGACACCGCCGCATGCCGCAGGCAACCAGCATTCCGGCGGCAGGCGGCGGAG